CGGTCTCTAATTGACATTGCTGAAAATGAGATGCTAATGATTTGATACAGAGCAGAAAGTCAGCATTAGTATCTGATCACAGAAGCTTGGGTTTCACATTGATGATGGTGTTGAATGTGAAGATAATATTATCATTAACATACATGAATTAAATGTTTAAAGAAAAGTTTTCAATTAAAAAACATTAAAATAACAATTACGCTTTCGGCCATATTTAAATCCTATCATTTTTCTACCATCAAAGGAGCATTTCAAGTACCACCTAATGCCCACAGCAACTACAGCCAAGTCACCTCATCAACTCAAAACTTACCCACTGCAGGCAGCACAGAATGAGACAGAGTCTATCAAACAGGACTCAAATTTGCATTTGAAAACAGCTTATATCGAGCACAACAGAACACAGGGTCAAAATCAAAGAGAAGCAACTGAAAAACTGACTGACAGATTACTGTGGACTGTAGGATTGTGATCAAAGATATGGAAAGGAAATGAAAATATATTGACTCTGAAAGCCACTTTTGTATCTAAATTGAATTCTGCCACAATAACATCTTGGTAACACTTTTTGGTAACTTTATTTAACTAAATTAGCTAACATTAATAGATGCATTAGAAGTATGTTTCATTGTTCCGTTTAATTTCAACATTTATTAACGCATTATTAAAATATAAAGTTGCATGGGAATATTATTGAAATGAACAGTTGTATTTTTATTAAGTAATGTTAACAAATATTAATAAAAACTGTAACAAATGCATTGCTCATTAACTAATTTTAACAGATGGATCTTATTGTAAAGTGTTCTATTGTAATGTGTCTTAAAATATCTTCGTATTTTATCTGAATAAAATGTGATATTTGTACTCAATTTAAATTAATTAGATTTTTTTTTTAACTTTTAATAATTCGTTATTTTCTTAAAGGCTTTAGTTAAGTTAAAGAGAATTAAACCTAATTTTCTTATCCTATTGGCTGAAAATCTGATTTGAAATCGTCTGGCAAGAGGCTAATAACACCACAGAAACCAATAGAAATGAAAAAAGAGTTGAACCATCTCATGACCGTCTGTGTGCTGTGAACACAAGCTTCAGCAACCACTCACAAACCTCAGTGACTATGCTGTGCCTTGTAAGGCAATGCTAAGTAACCTCTTTATGGCTTTGTTATCCTTCTTTTTTCTGCTTGCTGTACACTCTTAAAAATAAAGGTGCTTCAAAAGGTTCTTCACAGCGATGCCATAGAAGAACCATTTTTGGTTCCACAAAGAACCATTCAGTCAAAGGTTCTTTAAAGAACCATCTCTTTCTTACCTTTTTATAATCTGAAGAACCTTTTTTCACCACAAAGAACCTTTTGTGAAACAGAAAGGTTCTTCAGATGTTAAAGGTTCTTTATGGAACCATTTAGACAAAAAGGTTCTTCTATGGCATCGTGAAGCACCTTTATTTTTAAGAGTGTATATTAGTCATGAGATTGCATAACTAACCCACAGAAAACTTCCACCAGAACACATGCCTCTTATATATTGCAAAAGTCACCTAATAAGGCAGACAGTGCCTGTGGCTATTGACTGATCCAACATACCTCAGTAAACACAGACAGACAGAAAGATCACCTGAAGAACGCATGACATTGAAGGCAAACACTTTTTGCCTCTTCAGCTAAATCACTGTTCCTTATACACAATTTGAGTCCATCCATTCACATGTTCATTTAGCGCAATATGATCAACGATACGCTTCAAAGGTCTGTGTATGCTTCCAGTCACTTATTAACAAAGAAATTCGTGTTCCTATCTCCCTCATTACAAACTCGATCAGAGTCAAATGCATCGCTCAGAGGCCCAGATGACAAGTGCAGTGTCAACACTGAGAGATGATGAACATGAGCTCAGAAATATCACAAATATGGCGGAGAGAGAAAGAGCTGGACTGATGGACCCACATATATGGGTGAATCTTATTTCATCAAGAAATCAAAAGAAAGGAGATATTATACTTTGTATAAAGAAAATTAAGCCTGATTTTCATGACATTATTGGCATTATTTCATCACAATTAAGCCTATGTTCTTGATTACTAAATGTAAAATAAAAAATCTCATTCTAATTACTGTAATGTAAGATTTATTTATTCTTTCTCTTTAAGTTAAGTTTATAGATAAGTAAAAAAAACGAAATTACATTACAGAACCAAAAAGCCAGGTTTATTATAGTCAACTAAAACTACAATAAAAACTATAGATAAATAAATAATATAAACAATAAACATTGTTTAAAACATTACATGAATAAAAATTGAGTAAAATAAAATATATAAAACTTTTTAAATATTTTTTTATTTTGTTAAACTTGTATTACAACTAAAAATGAAATAAAAATGAATAAACATAAAATAACATATCTCTGTATATACTGTATGTATACATCTCTTTTGTTAATATATATGGGTCAAAGACGAAAAAAACAATAAGTGTAATACTGCTTTCAGTTGTTGTTGTTTTTCCCCAAAATATTTTATACGTTTTCTGTTTAATTTAATTGCAATTGTGTTTTTGTTTTTCCGAGCAAAAAATAAATATCATACATTTTCCCCAGATTTACAGAAGAGACCCACTAAAATGTCATTCAATGTAACAATCTTGTCAGGCATATTTACAACAAAAATCAATTTATGACACATTAAGAGACTAATTACTTTCACCCCAAATACTAATTAGTCGTAATTTTACATTTTTAAAATTTGCCACTATCCTAGGTTTTGCCCATTTGTCAGTAAGAATTTTTTACTCATTTAAAACCCAGTCAAATTTAATATACTCCCTTATTCTTTTATAGATTTTAATATGTACACGTCAGAATAAGCATGTTGTTTGAATTTTTACATAAATATTGTGTTACACTGAATGACAATGTAACAACAAAATTACATTACAGAACCAAAAAGCCAGGTTTATTATAGTCAACTAAAACTACAATAAAAACTATAGATAAATAAATAATATAAACAATAAACATTGTTTAAAACATTACATGAATAAAAATTGAGTAAAATAAAATATATAAAACTTTTTAAATATTTTTTTTATTTTGTTAAACTTGTATTACAATAACTAAAAATGAAATAAAAATGAATAAACATAAAATAACATATCTCTGTATATACTGTATGTATACATCTCTTTTGTTAATATATATGGGTCAAAGACGAAAAAAACAATAAGTGTAATACTGCTTTCAGTTGTTGTTGTTTTTCCCCAAAATATTTTATACGTTTTCTGTTTAATTTAATTGCAATTGTGTTTTTGTTTTTCCGAGCAAAAAATAAATATCATACATTTTCCCCAGATTTACAGAAGAGACCCACTAAAATGTCATTCAATGTAACAATCTTGTCAGGCATATTTACAACAAAAATCAATTTATGACACATTAAGAGACTAATTACTTTCACCCCAAATACTAATTAGTCGTAATTTTACATTTTTAAAATTTGCCACTATCCTAGGTTTTGCCCATTTGTCAGTAAGAATTTTTTACTCATTTAAAACCCAGTCAAATTTAATATACTCCCTTATTCTTTTATAGATTTTAATATGTACACGTCAGAATAAGCATGTTGTTTGAATTTTTACATAAATATTGTGTTACACTGAATGACAATGTAACATCATTTCAACCAAACTTTGACATTTTATCCTCCAAAAACTTATTTGAAACATTAAAAGTAGACACTTTACTTGCATTTCATGTGCTTTCTATGGACATAAAATCACTTTTGTAAATTTCTTTTGATGCGGACATCTTAACATCTTTGACCCATATATGTATATAAACAAAAATGACAAAAACACAACTTAACTAAAATTACAATTTATACAAAACTACTCAACTTCATATAAAACAAAAACTGAAAAAAAATAAAATACTGTTTTTCATTTTAATTGAGATCGGCTGTTAGCTACAGTATAAAATAAAATTACATCAAATATAAAATCTAACTCTAAATAACACAGAATCAGGGACTGCTTAATTGTCGTGAAAATAAGGTCAACATGCATAATAAGATCAACAGAGTATGAAGCTGTATCTGAATGGAGGCCTTCACGTGGATAAAAGGGTTATTAGAAGGTCTGGAGGCATTGAAATAAAACACATTTCATGACAAGTTCTTAATAAACCTCAAATAAAGCCATCATGAGTGTTGAATGTTAGTCGCAGCACATTAAAATACCATACAGACACTAAACACATAAGCAGCAGCAGCACAGGGCTGAAACAGGGCTGATTCATTCATCATGAGCAGGTCACCATGGCTGGCCATCTACTGTATCTATACACTCATTTCACTGGACTTGAGTTGGCAGCTTTAGTTCAAGTTTCCAGCAAGCTATATCTGGAATACATTATTATTTAGGTCATCCCACAATAAAGAAGCTATCCTTGACTTAATTACCCAATTCTACAACTGTCCAATTCCCTATTCCCAACTCTGCATGATAGCACTGAACTATGTTATGTTTGGTTCTCATCCTAAATATGCACAAATAATCTGCTCTATAAAAATAAAAACAATAATAATTATTATTATTATTGTCATTGTTGTCGTAGTAAAAAACGGATAAAAATTTACTAAAACTTTAAAATATATAAATATATATAAAATAAAACTAATTCAAATATTAGTGAAATTTATAGTAGTGACACTAAACATAACACTGGATGTAATGTTTGTAAATATTTAGTTTTATTTGCCAGTATTTTAAATAAATAAATACTAATAGTACTTTTGACAAATCTTTTAAATATAATTAATACACTATATTTATATATTTTTTTCAAAATTACTATCACTTTAAGGGTGAAACTTTGAAAGTCTGAAAACCATTCAAGTGCACCTTGTTTAGGCATGAACAAAATATACAAGTAGTATGTTTATGTCCAATGGAATGTCTTGTAGTTACGGTATAAGATACAGCTGGTTGCCATGGCTATATTTTACCTGAGGTCCGTCTCTGAGACCGTCCTCTGAGTCACGCCCTCTTCAGACTCCTCCTCCAGCTCCGCCTCCTCTCTGTCTACACTATCTGTCTGTCTCCTCAGCTTTCCTGCCCTCCCCCCTCCTCTCTTCCTCCCTCTGTCCTCCTCTAACCCTCCTTCCTCCTGTTCCTCCTGTAACGCCTCCCCAACCGACTCCTCCCTCTCCCTGGAGAGGCTCCGCCCCTGCACTGCATTGCTGTGGGTGTGGCTGGCAGAAGTAGAAGCAGAGGTGCAAGCAACATGCAGAACAAAAATGAAGCACAGTATAGGTGTCAACACTGCTTGAATGTAAACGGTAAAGTAATGATGAATGAATGACAACACAACAAAATAACGCAATGCAAACAGTAAAAACAACAGAAGCCAGACAGTAAGCACATAAAACAGAACAAAATGTATTTCACAGCTTGCAGAACTTAAATATTCACGTCTAGTATGTTATATGAGAGTGCGCTAGGTTGCTGGAGATTATTTGCTAGCATTTCAGTAAATGTAACTTTGTGTTGACTGACATGGAGCGAATTATGAAAATGTCGGACGACAGACAAACGCTATGAAAGTACACCGCCGTTCAAAAGTTTGAGGTCAGTACAATATTTTTTGAAGAAGTCTGTTATGCTTACCAAGGCTTCAATTATTTGGTCAAAAATACAGTAAAAACAGTAATATTGTGAAATCTTATTACAATTTAAAATAACTTGTTTTCTATTTGAATATATTTTAATATGTGATTTATTCCTACGATGCAAAGCTGAATTTTAAGCATCATTACTCCAGTCTTCAGTGTCATTCTATATGCTGATTTGCTGCTCAAGATACATTTCTTCCTATTATCAATGTTTAAACCATTTGCCATTTCATATTTATGTGGAAACATGATATGTTTTTAAGGATTCTTTGATTGAATGAAGAGCATTTATTTAAAAGAAATCTTTTGTAACATGTAAATGTATTTACTGTCAATTTTGATCAATTTAATGTATGCTTACTGAATAAAAAAAAAAAATCATTGTGAAATCTTATTACAATTTAAAGTAACTGGTTTTCTATTTGAATATATTTTAAAATGTGATTTATTCCTACGATGCAAAGCTGAATTTTAAGCATCATTACTCCAGTCTTCAGTGTCATTCTATATGCTGATTTGCTGCTCAAGACACATTTCTTCCTATTATCAATGTTTAAACCATTTGCCATTTCATATTTTTGTGGAAACATGATATGTTTTTAAGGATTCTTTGATTGAATGAAGAGCATTTATTTAAAAGAAATCTTTTGTAACATGTAAATGTATTTACTGTCAATTTTGATCAATTTAATGTATGCTTACTGAATAAAAAAAAAAAATCTAACTGACCCCAAACATTTCAAAGGAAATACATATACAATTGAAAATGTAATGACTGTAAAATGTATAGTCTGCATTGATTTGGAGCCAAACTCACCTAAACTGAACCCAATCCTGAACGACCCCAGAAAATGATGAAGCCTACAGAGCTGCTGTTTCTCTCAGGCCATGTACACACTGCAGCTAAATATGATCATCACTCCTTTTCTGAGTGCTTAATCCTGTTCTGCACACAGCAGGTATTTATAGGAGTGATAACCTCATTCTATAACCAAATGTACATCTGGAAGATTCAGATGCGAGATACGTCTTGACCCATTCGCAAATTTGGATACCAGTTTAGCAGATACTTACATCCAAAGCGACTTACAAATGAGAAACATAACAAGCAATTCATTACAGAGCCAACAATATTTATAGCACTGGTGTAGATTTCAATTTTCATGTAGTCAGACTAATATTTTGGCTAAGAACTGTCCACTTTAACTGAAAGAGACTGTTTGAAGTGACCAAGCACAGTCAGTTTTGTTTTTAGAAACCATTTAAGACATTTAAAGGTTGGAACATTAAAATTAATGTTCATAATGCAGTAAGTATTGATTATTTCACATATGAATTGCTTTGAATTTCAATTTAACTTGCTTGCATTCAAATTCAAATTCCGCATTCTGTGTGCATTCTCTATTCAAATTCAGGAATGAAACTGGAATTTTCAGTTCTGAATGGTGCATAAACTGGGTAAATAAGACTACGTTTCCGGGCGGACTGGTAAGGCAGTTCCTAGAAGCGGGTCAATGAAATTAAAACGGCAGGGTTTTGGATAGCTTTTGCTAGTTATGTGTGCAATATGCATATGACGGTCTATGAACGAACGGTGGGTGGTATGAGGGCATGAGGCTGAGACTAAACATGGTGCCTCGGTTTACTAATAACTGCCAAATGATAATGGTTTTTTCCAGCATTATTGTTATTGTTCGCTAAAACTGAATCTAAAAGTATTAAACAATAACTTTTAAATGATTTCAGATATTGAAATAAAACTGAAACATAACAAAATATAAATATTAGATGAAAAATTGTAACTAAAAAAATGGATATAAAGTAGTAAGAACTAAAATTGCTAAAACTAAAACAGAAATAAAAATAAAGCTAAATAGAAATATTAAAACAAAAACAAAAAATAAATAGAAATGACAAAATCACATAAAAGATAATTAAATGAAAAACGAACTATTCAACTATTATTAACTATTAGTTAAACTATTGTCATCCATGTTTCTTGTTTACAGCCAGGAGACGCCAAAACATGAGGAATTCACTCCTGCAAATAAATGCGGTAACACAGTATGTACATGGCCTCAAAGAACAGCCCTCGCTGTGGACTATACCTGGACTAAACTGTAACGCACAGGTTTGACAGTGATCCTGAATCGAGAAGAGGCCGTCTCACCTGATCTTGCGGCTGCCCCGCGGCCGTTCTGATTGGACTGAGATGTAGCTCATGCTGCTGAATCGAGACACACTGCTGGTTCTCGACACAGCGGACACGTCGCTGACATCACTGTCCGAAGACTTGGCCGAGAGGTTTTCTCCCCGCTGAGGATCCCTGCCCGAACGCTGCAGAACAAACACAACACATGCGGTCAGGTGCTTACAGACAACAAACAGAAAATACAAAGGGGTTAAAGGGCTTAGAAGCGAAGTGGCGCTTTCTTTTTCACTTATCTGACCAATAGCAAATGGGGAGAAGAGCAAAAATTACGGTAATTTGAAACTATTGTTACTTTTCTATGCATTACTTCCATGCTAGTGGCACAGACATTTCACACAAAGAGCGAGCTTAATTTAAAATATATACAGTGAATTAAAATAATGAATGATAATAATTAAAAAACAATAACAACAGCAGCAATAATAATAAAAAATAAACAACAACAACAATAATAATAATTCAAAAATAAATGATAATAATTAAAAAAATAAATAATAATAATAACAATAAAATAAAAATAAATAATAAATAAAATAAAAATGTATTTAAAATATCAACAAACAAACAAATAATAATAAATACAAATAAAAAACAATAACAAATAAATTAAAAATGATTCATATAAAAATAAATACATGAAATAATACTAATAATACAATTCAAAAATAAATTCATGAGCATTGCTTAAGCTCAAACTGTACAATATGGGTTTGATTCCCAAGGAATGCATGAACTGATAACATGTTTACCCTGAATGCAAAGTAGCTTGTTTTGGATAAAAGCACAAATACATAATTTTAAACAAATGTTTATTTTTTTAAGTACCCTAAAAAAGACAACAAGCATCATTAAAATGAAAAGCCACTGCGTTTACACTAAGGAATTCCTGGCTATTCTCTCTTGGATAAACATGGAGAGGTACAGTATTGTGGGATCTTGTGTAACATTTATTTATAAATTGCTCATGGCTCGCTATGCTGATTATAAACATTATGTCCTAAATGGCGCCTCTATCAGACAGACCAAACAAACCGAGTCTTTACCTGCTTTTAATAGAATCCTGCAGAACTCATGGGCCTGTACAATGCTTTTCATACCACACACTTAAAAGGATACAATGGGAAGGCGATCTGTATATGGCACTGAATCTCAGCACAATGTTTTGTGTACACAAATACTAATGTATATCCTGAACAGAGACCCTAAACCTGGAAGACTATATGGACCTATAAAAATGTCACAACTGCGGGAAGTGGGTCACCAAACACACATCATGTTTAATCTATGATCACTTACGTTCAAATAAGCAATGTGAATGGCTGAAAAGTGCTCTGCTTTTCTGACTACCTGGACCTAGATTAACGTAGTTAGCTAAACTAAAAGCTACAAGCAAAAAGTAGCTAGCTAAACTGATGCTTTTTAAGGGGGTTAAAGAAGAGCTTGGAAAATACAATAAAATAAAAGGATATAAAATAAAATATATATACACATACACAAGCATGCATATATTTTAAGATTAATAAATCAAAACAAAAATGGACTTGTCTATGTGGACATTTACATTTTTTAAAGGGAGAGTATTTAAATAAAAATAATTATTATTCAAGCAACCAGGAGTATTATTTCACTGTGATGATCAAGTAGCGTGATTGCAACTTAAACAGTTCAATTGATTCAAAATACAAATATTACGACTAGAAAACAAGAAAACACACTCATTTATCTAACAGAGTTGAAATGAGTGATGAACAGAAGCATTTACTTACATTAACTATAGTATAACCATTTGAATCATTTAAAAAGCACATTTAAACCACATTTACTTGCCTTGTGATAGTCCTGTTCCAGTCTGGAGTCTGAGCCCATTCCCTGTTTATACTTGTTCATCTTCAGTTTCATCTGCCGCGTCCGCTCCTCAACATCCATAGCACCTATGGATCACAGCAGACGTGTTTGGAAGGTTGTTGAAAAAGTGCCTCACTAATGAAGCGTCTGAATGATGTGGAATAGTTTATAAAGAAATCTTTCCCATCTACAACAGTAATGCACAACGCTGAACTAACAGCGCTAACTAACATTATTCATGAGGTGTTTCATACAATGCAGCATGATCACAGCTAACGTTTCTTGGGGGAACTAAAATGTTAAAGGGTTAGTTCACCAAAAAATGAAAATTTTTATTTTAGCTTGTGTTTTACTTACCCTCGAAGCATCCTAGGTGTATATGACTTTCTTATTTCAGATGAATCTAGTTAGAGTTATATTAAAAATTGTCTTTGATCTTTCAAGCTGTTTAATGGCAGTCAGCGGGTGTTGCAATTGAACAGTCCACAAGTCGTCAAATAAAGTGCGCGCATTCATAATAAAACGTGCCGCAGACGGCTCCGGGTGTCGTGTGAGGAACGTTTATTATGAATGCGCGAGCTTTATTTGATGACTTGTGGACTGTTCAACTGCAACACCCGCTGAGTGCCATTAAACAGCTTGAAAGATCAAAGATAATTTTTAATATAACTCCGACTGGATTCGTCTGAAAGAAGAAAGTCATATACACCTAGGATGCTTCGAGGGTGAGTAAAACACAAGCTAATTTTCATTTTTGGGTGAACTAACCCTTTAATTACCATCTGAGCATATGAGACATGTCTGTTTAAAACCAAACTGTCCATCAAAAAAAAAAAAAAACCTTCATCGAAATGCTTGTTACCATTATTAAAGAAGCTGGTGTGTAAATTTCTCCACACATTTCATACTGTAAATCATGCAGCACGGAGAAGAAAAAAATATATCAATAAAATTATTGTAGCAAATTACAGAGGGGACAGTACAGTCAAGAAGCTAACTAATCGTTTTTAGGTATTTTTATGAGAGTCTGCTTGTGTAATAAACTCTTCACAAGTCACACAAACCTGACACACACTTTAACGCAAAATGTTAGAAGCTGGTGTGTAAATTTCTCCACACATTTCATACTGTAAATCATGCAGCACCGAGAAGAAAAAAATATATCAATAAAATTATTGTAGCAAATTACAGAGGGGACAGTACAGTCAAGAAGCTAACTAATCGTTTTTAGGTATTTTTATGAGTCTGCTTGTGTAATAAACTCTTCACAAGTCACACAAACCTGACACACACTTTAACGCAAAATGTTAAAGAATCATTCACTATTAATAAATCAGAGCATAAAATAAATTAAGTGCATGTGCAAAGTTCAATTAAATTATTTTGTGGTATATTTTAGTGTTTAGTATCATTTAGTACTAAATACATTTTCCGCCAGTTTCACAGAGAAGGCTTAAAAGGGATAGTTCACCCAAAAATGAAAATTCTGTCATCATTCACTCACCCTCATGTCGTTCCAAACCTGTATGAGTTGCTGGGTGAACTATCCCTCATTTTTGGGTGAACTATCCCTTTAAGCCTAGCCCTAGACTAAAGTGCAAGTCTGAGCTGTTTCAACTGAAAGAAACTTGCACTGACTGATCTTAAAATATATCAGTGTCTGTCTCAAGATGCACACCAGTAATATGTTTTTCAAAGGCACGTTTATAAAAAATGACTTAAATGTCCTAATTGAACTATGGCCTAATCCTGGCTTAGGCTAAACCCTGTGAAACTGGGCCTTAGTGTTCTAAATGTTTTTAGTATGTTATGTGGTCGCTCTTAAATGGTTGCTAGGATGTTTTATGAGACAGTAGCATGTTTTTATGCAGTGCTAGGGTGTTTGGTGGGTTATTAACATGTTATTTGGTCACTAGGGTAAGCAGTTACAAGGGTATTCTAGGTTGTTTTCAGCATGTTACTATACAGTTTCTAGGGTGGTTCCTTACTGGCCCGAGTCTCTGTAATACTAAGACTAATACTGAGACTAATTTTGGTAAAAAGCACAATTTGATGTTTGTTCGTATAGCAAAAAGTCATATAAATGTCTGAAACCTTTCCGACTGCAAGGCAACAAGCTACAACTAAGCAGTCCATTTGCACAAGCAACTACAAGAACTACACCCGTCTTTGTCGGCGCAGGTGCCATAAATGTCATTAGCAATTTTCTCTTTCCAATAGCAATTGTGCTGTTAAGTAATTGACATGTTCAGCAAATTACCCAATGATTAGTGCTCTCAGAATCATTAGATTAATTTGATTTAATTGCAGCGCTATAGTGAATTTTATTCATGTAGGATATTTTTTAGCTTAATGCCACCTTCACAACTGAAATCACATTCAGAAAGCTTTGCAGCATGGGAAACCTTCCTCAAAGTTTAGATATCTGCAATGCCAAAACCATACAACACACTTCATTCTCTAAACTCTCTCGATTGCTTTAAAGTTGTTCAAAGAGAGATTGGGGGGGGGGGGGGAACAA